TATGCATGTATGCACATAGCCAAACATGGGAAGACAAACCCGAGAAGACGACGACATCACACGAAGGCGGACCGAACATTACCGTCAGAGCTAGGCAACTTCAGCGCGACACAATGCAAAACAGTGCAAAGCCGCGAAATGAATTGAACGCTTTGCTATGGCAGTGGAATCCAAGACGTATTGTCACAGTAAACGAGTGTCACAAAAATTTGGCGCAACGCAAAGAAGCGCAAAGCTATTCAAAGAACACTTAGGAAAGCCCAGCACGGAAATGCAACGCAGTTCAATTCAAGACACAGCTGAAGCATGTAAAGGAAAGCGCTGCGAAGCATCATTAAGAAGTACACCTGCAATGCAAAGCAACGCGCTGCGATCGAATGCAAGAGACTCGACGACCTCGGAATCCGACGAAAGAGCCAAGGGAATCTGGGCTGGTGGTAGGAAGTGCCACCAAGTCCAGGGGAAGGCTAGAGAGGGAAGGGAAGAACATGGAGGGCAGGAAGGAGAAGCGAGAGTACGGACCCCAACAGGGATGAAAGAAGAGTCGAGCAAAGGGGCGGCGGACGGAGAAACAGAGGGAGGGGGAAGGAGGGCGGGATGGAAGAGCAACAAGGAAGGAGAGAGGAGGTAGCAGGACAAAAGAGATCCGATCAGGAAGGGAGGAAATAGACATCAGGGACGGAGGAAAGAAGAAGTCCTTTTGGGGCTCTCGTGGACTCGTGGGGCCGCATATGAAGTACACGTTGGAACATAATCCCATAGGTCTGTCTGGTTTGGGCCAACTGAGAATCCTGTGGTGACTCTCAAGTGGCCCGTTGGGTAGCACCTGGAAAACCGCTAGGACGTTGTCTTGAGATGTTTGAGCATGTACGGAGTCATAATGGGATATATGTTGGAACATGTTCGGGTCATCTGAAGGCCTACCTGGGCTGAGACTGGCTCCGCTGGGCGGTCTTTGGGGCCATGGGGGCCTTCGATGCCAAGCTGAGGACCCTCGGAGGGCTACTTGAAACGCTCACCGCCTGCCCGAACCCCCTGATGTCGCCGACAAGTTATGAACCCCAGAGATGCAACCCAAACAGCCATAACTGCCAAACCAAAAAAGTTGGTCAGCTGGGAGCCATCTGGAGGCTCATTTGCGGACGGAGCATCTCACAACGCAGCTCCACGGACGCTCCCCTCGTGACCGCGTCTCGCGACCGCGGGGCGTCCAGAACACCGCGGCTTCAACCTGAAGCGCCCCTCGGGCACCTCTCCACTTGACCGCGTCTCGCTGTGAGGGGGGGCGCCTTCTCAGAACACCACGGGCTGACCTTTGAGCGCCCACGCGTCTCGAAGCCAGGGGGGGCGCCTCGGGACACCGCGACTTCGACCTCGGACGCCCCCCCCCCCAGGCACCCCCCTTGACTCTGCGTCTCGTGGCAGGGGGGACGCTTCGGGACACCACGACTTCAAGCTCGGACGCCCCCTCCCCTCCCCGGGCACCTCCCATTGACCGCGTCTCGCGGCCGTGGGGGCGCCTCGGGACCCCACGGCTTCAGCCTCGGACGCTCCCTGGGCACCCCCCTTGACCGCGTCCCGCGGCCGCGGGGCGTCCAGACCACCACGGCTTCAACCTTGAGCCCCCCCCTGGCACCTCCACTTGGCCGCGTCTCGCGGGCGGGGGGGCGCCGCCTCAGAACGAACACCACGGGTTGAACCTTGAGCGCCCCGGCGTCTCGCAGCCAGGGGGCGCCACGGGACTACACGGCTTCGACCTCGGACGCCCCCACCAGGGCAAACCCTTCGACCGCGTCTCGCGGCCGGGGGTGCGCCTCGGGGCACCACGACTTCAACCTCGGATACCCCCCCTTTGGGCCGTCTTGGAGCACTCATGGGCCGTTCTGGAACCCTCTTGGAGGCCTCTTCAGCTATCTTAGAGCGGTCTGGGAGGCCTCTTGGGCTGTCTTGGAGCGTCGGGATGCCAAAAGGCTGAAAACTCGACCATCCCCCAGAAACCTACAGGAACACAGTGATTTGTGCCTCTTGGAGCCTTCGCGGGAGGCCTCTTGGAACCTCTCGGGCCCTCTGGGGAGTTTCTTGGGGACCTCTTGGAACCTGTTGGGGGCCTCTTGGGGCCTCCTGAGATCCTCTCGGGGTGGAAGGCTTGGATGTTCGGCTTGTGTTACCCCCTCCTGGCCCCCTCTTGGGGCCGTCTTGGGGCTCTCACGGAACGTTTTCGGGTCTCCTGGGCCGTCTGGGGGACGTCTTGGGGCCCTCTTGGGCCGTCTTGGGGCCGTCTTCGAGGCCTCTAGGGCTGTCTTGGAGCGGACATTGGGGCCTCTTGGGCCGTCGTGAAGTGTCGGGAAGCTGAAAAGGCCAGAACCCGACAATCCTCCAAAAACCTCGGGAAGTAAAATCAGTTTTTGTACCTCCTGGGGCTCCTTGGGAAGCAGTTTGGAGGCCTCTTGGGACGTCTTGGAGGCCTCTTGGACAGCCAGGGGCTAACTCTGCTGTGATCTCGGGCCGTCAGTGCTTTTCTTGTCTCCTGTCAACCTCATTAAATTTCGGTGAACAGAGGGGACGGAGGCGACGTTCCCCTGTTTCAGACCCTTCCTGCAACGCATTGGGAAGCAGGAGGTCGTGGAGACGCGAGGGACATCGCGACTCCAAAGCCGACCTCCACGACAGGCCTTGCCGCGAGGATCGGGCCGTCATTGATCGTTGTCGCGGTCTGGAGGCGCCATTTCTGGCGATCCGGGGCCGTCTTCGGGCGATCTTCGAGAGCCCTCGGCGCCCCTGCAGGGCCCCCGGGGCCCCGGGCCTCGTGTCCCAGGATGTATGTTTGTTGACACACATAGACACACATGTATCTACACACAGATTTAAGAGATATATGAAACCATACATTTCTGTATTAGTGTAGATACCCATCGACACAATACATGCACATATATATATACTTTTATCCATACAAATTTGAATACGTACAAACATACCTACAATCATACAAACATACATACATGTGTACATGCATGCATACATAAATACATGCACGCATACGTACATGCTTACATGCAAACAAACCTACATACGTACATACACAGAGGCACACACACATACATACAGACATGCATGCATATATGCATACTTACGTATTCAGATTCACATACATACATGCATGCATACATACGTACATGCACTAATGTATCACTCATACATACATACGCACATACACCCTTACATACATCCATACACATATATAACTACATGCGTACATACATCTGTACATACATACATGCCTATACGACCGCCCTGCGGGCGATAATGAGGTTTGGGGGGGGGATGGAAATCAACCGCCCACCCTGACGGACCTCCAGCCTGTCAACTTGATATCATCTCTCTCTTTCTCTCTTGGTTTGGATTGGGTTGGGATGGGTGGATTGGATTGGATAGGATAAAATGGATTGGGTAAGATAAGATGGGTCGGATTGGAAGAAATTGATTGGACAAGATAGGATGGATTGGATTGGCCCGCCGCAGGCGCAGAAACAAATGAATTGATGGATTGGGTTGGGTGGATTGGATTGGGTGGGTTACGATAAGATGGGACAAGATGAGTTGGATAAGATAAGATGGTTTGGATTAAACAGGATATATTGGACCAGATAAGCTGGATTGCATAGAAAAACCCGCCGCAAGCGCGGACAAAAATGAACCATGAAATTAGTGTCGTGCGTTAGCGCCGGGACGCCCGGGACACCTGGGACACCACCCGGCCCAAGGGGGACACCTCGCAGCCACCGGCGGACGGGAACGGACTTTCACTTCTACTTCGGCCTAGCTACAGGAGGATCACGCGCAGCTTCGCCTCGCCCGCACGCACGACCCGAACACGAAACCGAAACCGATTTCCCGGCGGGAAGTCTCCGCTTCACTGCGATATCACCCCCCCAACCTCCCACATACATACATACACACGCATACACATATACACATATATACATACATACATACATACATACATACATACATACATACATACACATACACACATACACACATACATACCTACAAGCAGACAGACGCACAGACAGACAGGCAGACAGACGGACACACACAGACAGACAGGCATACACATCCATACCTACACGACCGCCCTGCGGGCGACAAGGAGGTTGCGGGGGGATTGAAATCAAATGCCCACCCTGACGGACCTCCAGCCTGTCACCTTGATATCATCTCTCTCTTTCTCTCTGTCTCTCTCTCTCTCTCTTTCCCTCTCTCTCCCTCTTTCTCTCCCTCTGTTTCTATCTCTCTCTCTCGCCCCCTCTCTCTCTATCCCCCTCCCTATCACAGTCCCTCCGCCAACAATGATGATCGCGATGACGATAAGATCCCAATATGTACCTATCGTCGACCGACCTATCGGTAAATCTCACAGTCGGTCACTATCGACATCGAAAGCAAAAATAGAAAGCTCGCCGCAGGCGCCGGGGCAACTTTCAGCCAGATGAGTTGGGTTGGATAAGATAAGATGGGTTGGATTGGATAACGTGGATTGGATAAGATAGGCTGGGTTTGCTAAGAAAGCCTGCCGCAAACGCCGACCACAAATAATTATGACATTAGCGACATGCGTTAGCGCCAAGACGAGCGGGACACCCGGAAGGACACCGCTCGGCCCAACTGGGACACCTCCCGACCACCGGCAGACAGGAAACGAACTTTCGATCCGACTGACACCCAGGACACCCTGGACACCGCCCTGCCCAAGGGGGACACCTCCCAGCCACCGGCGGACGGGAACGGACTTTCGCTCCTACTTCGGCCTAGCTACAGGAGGATCACGCGCAGCTTTGCCTCGCCCGCGCGCGCGACGCGAACGCGAAACCGAAACCGATTTCCCAGCGGGGGGTCTCCGTTTCATTGCGATCTCACCCCCCGAACTCCGCCATACATACATCCATCTATACATACACACATACGTACATACGTACGGTGGGAGGTATTTTTAGCTCTTAGAGGGCGAGCGGACCCACCCGTGATTCCAATGTCATGCAGAGAGGCGCGGGCGGGGCCCCCAGGAACAAGCCAACGCCCTCGACGACCTCGACGTCCGTGAGGTCGTCCCGCACGCGGCGGCTGAAGCTCCTGTCCACTTCCTGCTCGAACTCCTCCCGCGCGCGCAGCTCCGACGAGGCCTCGACTGGCGAGCCGCCCGCCTCGCCGAAGCAAACGCCCTCCGCGTCGCGGGCGACCCCGACGACCTCAACGTCCACGAGGTCGCAATCGTCGTCCTGCACGCGGTGGCTGAAGCGCCTGTCCGAGCCAGACCCAGGAGGGGAGGCGGGAGGGTCCGCAAAGACCACGCCCTCCGCGCTCGACTGGACCCCGTCACTGCCTTCGCGAGCAGAAGCCTCCAGCCGCCATCCAGTTTCCAGGCCCTGCCCGAATGCCAGCGTGCGGCTTTCGGCCACCTCGTCGCGAACTGACCAGACCCCTGGGGCATGGGGCTGCAGCTGCTGGAACGGGCGCGCCGCGAGCGGCTGCCACACCACCGCGGTGGGCTGCAGCGCACTGCCCGCGTCACCGCCTGCTCCTTGGCTCTGCACCTCCAGCGCCTCGCACATGGGTCCAGACGCGCCCCCGCCAAAGGCCGCCAGACGTGGCCCCGCAGCCGCCCGCGCGAGGTCTGCCCTCGAGGCCCTCGCAAACCCGCAGGGCGGCGGCTGAGCAGCATGCCGCGCCACGTTGCGGCGGAGACGGGAGCTGTCGCAGACTCTCCTTCCCGCTGCCGCCGCTCTCAGGGCTGGGCGGGATGCCGCCTCGCGATCCCTCCACGAACAGGGGCATGGCCCCTTCCCTGTCCCCAAGGGCTCGGCGTAGACCAGCTTTACAAGCCATCAGCCGCCTGCGTCTCGCCTCACGCCGCGCCGCTGTGGCTCCGAGCCGAGCTTCTTCCTCCATGCGCATGGGCCGCCTCTCAGGCGGGCGGCCCCCCGCTGCCATCTCTCAGTCGCCCTCGCCGCGGTCGCCCGAGCAGACTTGAGCCAATATGGGTATTGGAGAAGGAGCCTTTAGATAAGGAGCCCTGGGTCTGGAGAACGGTGGGGCTCCAATCGAGGCTTGGCCATGGATATCACTGCCGCCCTCATCAGACAAGGAATCCTCCAGGGTCTGCAGCCTCCTGGGCGCACTCCTTAACCAACGCCCCACCGTGCTTGCATACATACATGTATATGTCTACATGTGGGTAAGATGCATGCAACAAGAGATAGTGGCAGAGGACTTGGGGAACACTCTTCGTCTACCTTGAACGTCCTCGGGTGCCCCAAACCTCTGCGGGTCGCCGGGGCCATCGGGGGGGCAACAACTTCCCAAGGGGCACCTGCTGGCAGTCCATGTTTCTTACTTCGCGCGCCTCGCGTAGGAACCCCACCTCTGCTCGTTGTAGTTCTGTGTGTGAGGTTCGACTCCCGGGGGCCCTGACTGAGGCGCGGGGCCATCAGAGAACGACCCGAAGGATGCAGCGCAGGCCCAGCAGAAGGGGTCTGCACCCTACATCCCCCCGCGAAGCCTAACGCGAGTTTTACCGCGCCGCGTCGGCGCACCCAGACCACTACATGTCAATGTTGATGCCGACGGCGTCCGCGCACCGCGTCGCGCGCGCAACCGAACATCGAGACTGGGGGAGAGGGGGGGTCGGCAAAACTTGCGCTAAGTTTCGCGGGGGGTTATCCCCCCGCGAAACTTTGCGCAGGGTTAGAAGCCTCCTAGATGGGGTCGGCGTAGATGGGGTCGGAGAATCGCGCCGCATCGCTGATGCATCGGCGATGCATCGGCGATGCACCAGGGATCCATCGGCGACGTGGGCGATGAATCGGCGACGTCGACGTGAAGCACATCGGGCTCCGCATCGAGCCGCATCGGTGAAGCATCGGCGATGCAACGTGATCCTCCGACCCCATCCACCCCGACCCCATCCAGGAGGCTCAGCAAGGCCGCAGGGGCCACGCCGTCCACAGGCGGAGGAGGAGGAGGAGGAGGAGGAGGAGGAGGAGGAGGAGGAGGAGGGAGGAGGAGGAGGAGGAGGAGGAGGAGGAGGAGGAGGAGGAGGAGGAGGGAGGAGGGAGGAGGGAGGAGAGGAGGAGGGAGGAGGAGGAGGCCGTGCACGAAGCCGCGACGCGGCCGCTCCGGGAGAGCGGAGGCTGGGGCCCCGGGCGCGCGCTCCTCGCCGGCCTCGGCCGCCGGCGAGGCCCGCCGCCGGGGCCCCGTTCGGGGCCGCCGGGCCGCGCGTCGGGGGCGGAAGCGGCCCCTCTCGAGGGGGGGCGGAGTCGGGGCCGCGGCTTTTGGCGGCGCGCACGGGGGGGCGGAGGGAGGGGGGAGGGCTTCTTAGAAGAGGCTGCTTCTTAGACGGCGCCGGCCTTACATCTATAGCTAAGGCCCGCGCCTTCTAAGAAGCAGGGTTGCTTCTAAGAAGCCCTCCCCCCTGCCCTCACCCCCCTCTGCGCGCTTAGCTGCCCCGATACGCAACACGCAACACGTACCGTATCGATGCAGAACTCAACACGCAGGCCAGAAACACGGGTCCGACGCGATGCATTCATTCGCCAGAGCGTGGTCCGATGGCTGGAGCCGACACGCAACGTATTGGAACGGGCGTCTTGAACACAGGACGTGTTGCGTTTCAAGACGCGCGTATCGAGACAACCAAGGACCTCGGCGGTCGCGCTCTGGAGCAGAAACAAAACCGGTGGGCCTCTGAGAAGAAGGCTCGGGTCGGGCACGTCCTCCTGCACGGGGGGATTCTGAACGAGGACGGGGCGAGACATCGTCAGCACACATAATTACCCCCACCAGAATCGTCCAACGATGATCGAACCATCGTCCCAAGACTATGTTCGGACTGCTTTTGAATGTGCCCCCTGAAATCAAAGGGACGTGCCCGACTCAACACCAGCGCGAAGGGCAATCGGGCGTCCTTTCGCCGGTGTGGTCTCCCCTCCCCGCTCGAGGCATCCCCCGGTCCCCCCCAGCTCGGGGGGGGGGGGGAAGGCGGGAGCGGGGACCTCCCTGTCGGAGGTGGCGCCAGCGGTGGCGGTGCCGTTTTTTCTGTTTTCCGCGGAAGGATTGTGTGCCAGACGGAAGCAGCAACTGCAGAAGCGTGAACCTTCGACGTCCTGGCGGATCCATGGAGTCGGCGCTGGGCCCCCCTTGAATCGCGCCTCCAGCGCCGCACCTGGAGCGCGCCGCGCGCCAAGAAGGGGGATCCAACGCCAATTCAGGAGATCCGCTGTTTTTCGAAGTGCGCATCATGGCCCAAGGCGTGTGCGCGGCCGAGTGGGGGGGCAAGCGGACGTGCTGAAAGAAGAAGAGGGGGCCCTGAATTTTGGGAGGCAGCACGGCTCTGGCCACGACACCCACTCTCGGTGAGCAAACAATGTCACGCCAGCCGGGCGACCCCATCAGCGCGTCTCAGCTCGGGAAGGCCCAGGCAGTTGCGCTTAAACCGAAGGAATTAGACGCGCGCGCGACGTGCGTGTCGCTGGTACGCTTCATCCCCCCCGACGCCCCCCGGACTCTGTGTCCCTCGGGTCATAACTATCGTCTCCGGCGGCGGCTCGGGGCGAACGGGGCACCCCCGGAAAACGCAATCCGCGAGGCGCAGCCGCCGGAAAGCATGCCGGGGCTGGAGAGCAGCCGAGAGCCGACAAGAACATTCGAAAACCTCCTCCCGAATGCCCACATCCACGCTAACTGTGCCCCTGAGCCTGCAGCACGTAATGTTTTTCCCTGGTCCCCACCCCCCTCTTGGACGCCCCCGAGCTGTCGTACGCTCTCCCCGCGACAAGCGGGGCTGCCACCGACGCCAGGGAGCGGAACACGCCCGTGAGTCCCTGGGCGAAGCCCATTCGGTCCTCCGGGGGGGAACGGATCTCACACCACTGGTCGAAAATTGCTCGAGCGCTCGGCACTCCGTTCTGTCATTCTCCCTCCTGTTCTCGCAGTCCTCCTCCTCCTCCTCCTCTTCCTCCTCCTCCTCCTCCTCCACCTCCTCCTCCCCCTCCCAGGGCGCCCACTCCTGAGAAACCCTGTGTTGGTGGTCTGCCCCACTACAGCAAGCATGGTTAAGAGACCATGATTTAAGAAGCCTGGGCTAGCTTCTCAGAAACTTCTTGAAGCAAGCTGGGACAAACTTTGTTGGTCAACGCCGCAAGGCCGAACGTGCTCAAGAGACCGGGCCAACTTCTCGGCAAACTGGTCAAGCAGGGCTGGCCCAACGGGACAAGCCTTCTACTGTTGATGCCATGACGACCTATCCCGGACAGTCCCTTGGACAACCCAGCGGGGACCTGGACAACCCCCTTTGGACAAGCCTCCCCAGTATTTCTTCCCGTAATAGGTCGCCCAACTTCGCGCACCGCGCCCCCGCGATGTTCGGTGATCTTCGCGCTTTCGCGAGGCCATCCTGGAAAAGGGCAGCTCCCCGGCCTGGGGCACGACGCGCGAAGCGCGAAGGTCTTCGTGCCCCTGGGGGTGATTCAGTTACACCCCGTGCTAGCGAGACCCTAAACTAAGACGAAGCCTGGACGAAGACAACGTCGGGTGACACAAAATCTGGATCGCTCCGAGAGCGTTCCCGACCGCCCTGGAACGGATCGATCCTCGTCCTAGCTGTCCCCGCCCGATCAACACCACCGCTGCGTGAAAACGCACCTGGCTGGTTCTGGGGAGGACACACAGTTCGTTCTTGGGGGTGCGATTCCTTTTTTCCGGCGGGAACCAGCGGAGGCGGCCTCGTTTTGCTTCTGCCAGCTTCCCCATGCCCTCCGCCGAGCCGATGAAAAGGTGTCAGCTCCTTTGGTTGTCGAAAGCGAAGCCTTTTTCTCGAACGCCCCACATGGTTCAGGAAACTAAAAGGTACCGAAACCGTTGCTCCCCGGACCTCTCCCGAGGAGCGTTCTGACTAGGATTGCGTGGCGAATCCAGCGGTGGCGACGAAGGCCCCCAGGAGGCCCAGAAAAGGGAAACCGACAGAGGGGTAGCGGTATGGGTACCAGTTCCTCTTCCTACCTGCGGCCATCGAAGGCGAGGCTTGTTGCTTGGCTCGAAAGCCTCACGCGGTGCGCGGGCATCGAAGGGAGCGGGTTCGGTGTGGGTGGTCAGTGCCGCTGGAAGCCGAACCAGGCCCGCGGGCACAGCACCGAAAAACGATAAAACATCGGTCCTCCAGAGGAGCACACATTGGCAGACAGTCGGGCCCTCAGGGCCCCGTAAACCCGGACACGCTAGGCTAAGCCTGGACACCCAACGCCCCTCGAAGCCAATGTTTCCAGACGGCGGCACCAACAAAAAAACACTGCAGCGCTTCCAAAGTAAGCCCGGACACAGGCCCTTAAACCCTGCAGGAACCCCGCTAAACCCGGACACAAACCCGAATCCTGCAGCGCAACAGAAAGAAAATGCACGGGTGCTGAAATATGTAAATTTGAAGGAAAAGGTGTCGTTTCCTTGGTTTCCCGGGTCCTGGTGTATCTGTGTCCTGGTCTCTGGGGGCCCGAGACCCTTTCCCCCCAGCCCTGCCGGACACCCTCCTCTCGCCCTCTGCCCTGACCTTTCCTCCTCGTCCTTCTTTCATGTATCCTTTTTTCGTCCTTTTCCGCCTCCTCGTTCTCCACCTCCTCCTCATCCCCGCCCTCCCCTACCCGTTCTCCCCATCTCATTTTCCTCCTGCTTCTGCTCCATGTGCATTTCTCCTTCCCCCTGGTCGGAGCAATCAAGTCGATTTTCCTCGGCGCCGTCGCCGCCTCGGTCAGCGCGCGCGCGCTCGCCGACGGCTAGATCGTGAAGCCTTTGGGGCAATCCCGCGGGCCATGCCTTTGGGACAACCCAGTGGGCCGCTGGGGCGCGGGGGCGGGCCGTCGGGACAACCCCGCGGGCCAGGCCGTTGGGGCAACCCCGCGGGCCTCGAGGTGGGCGCGGCTGCGCTCAGGCAGGGGGCAGCGCGAAACCAAGCACTGCTGAGAGCTGTTCCGCCTCGGACCTGGAGTTGTCCGCGACCGCGTCGAACTTCTGGAGCGCCTTCCGCAGGGACGCCGGCGGCCCGCGTTCCAGGAACTCTCGTGTGGGCAGCCGCAGGATCAGCATGTTCCGCATGGACGTGTCGCGGGAGAACATGACACAGAAGTGCAACCACCACTGCTCGTCCGACATGCCCGTGCGACCAGCGTCCTCATCTCTGGCGCAGTCAGTGGTGACGCCATCGCCGCGTCGGGGAACTGGGTTCAGCCGAGCGGGTGGCCGTATTAACAATACAAGATTGACCCCGGTCGGATTGGCCTGCGCGGTCTCGCATCACCCTTCGTTCCTTAGGAACCTAACAATGACGACAGCTACGGGATCCCGAAATCTCGCTTGGATGCTAACATGGAACTGCGGGCCCCATAGCGAAGGGGCTGCCGCTTGAGGCCTCTTCGCGACTCACTCACAGACGAGGCTCCCGCCTGAGACCACCTCAAGCTTCAACTCTGGCTGGGATCTCCACAGCTGGCGACAGGTCTAGGTTTCGTATGACCCGCTCGGATTACCAGTATGCAGCGCGGGCCATATAGGGAGGGGACTCCAGCCTGAGACTTCCTCGCAAGTCACTCACGAACCAAGCTCCCGCCTGAGGCTTCTTCAAAATTCAGACGCGAAAGGTCCAACAGCGACGCCAATTACAAGATTTTGATGACCCGATCAGATGGCCAACATGAAATGCGGGCTCCATGGGGAGGGGGGTCCCGCCTGAGACATCCTCGAAATTCACTCACAAACGAGGCTCCCGCCTGAGGCTTCTTCAAAATTCAGGCGCGAGGGGCCCACAAGTGACCAGTTACAATATTTAAGTGGCGCGCTCCGATTACAAACATGAAATGCGGGCTCCATAGGGAGGGGGCTCCCGTCTGAGACATCCTCGCAATTCACTCACAAACGACGTTGCCGCCTGAGGTTTCTTCAAAATTCAGGCGCGAGGGGCCAAAGAGTGAGGACAACTACAAGATTTGGATGACCCGCTCGGATGACCAGCATGATTTGCGGGCTCCATAAGGAGGGGGGCTCCCGCCTGGGACCTCCTCGCAAATCACTCACAAACAAAGACCCCGCAGGAGGCTTCTTCAAAGTTCAAGCGCGAGGGGCCCAACAGGACGACTGCAACAAGATTTGAATGACCCGCTCCGGTTACCAACATGAAATGCGGGGCCCATAGGGAGGGGGCTCCCGCCTGAGACGTCCTCGCAATTCACTCAAAAACGAGGCTCCCGCTGAAGGCTTCTTCAAAATTCGGGCGCGAGGGGCCCAGAAGGACGACGGTTACATGGTTTGGATGAGATGACCCGCTCCGGTTGCCAACATGAAGTGCGGTGCCCATAGGGAGGGGACCCCCACCTGAGACTTCCTGACACTTCACTCACAAACGAAGATCCCGCCTTCGACTTCCATACGATGAATGCATGAGTGTGTGACTACGTGAGTGTGTAAGTTTGTTTGTGTGTGAGTGTGAATGAATGCGAGAATAATGTCGATGATGATGATGGCGATGATGATGATGATGAGTGAGTGGGTACCGTCATCCCCCCACCCAATGCCCTGCGCGTGAAGGCGGGGCCTCGCTGGCGCGTGCACTATTGGATCGCGCGCATTATGGGTGGCGAGGACTTGCCACTCCAGGATCGCCCGCGCACAATGCAACTGAAAAGTATGCCGCGCTGACGACTTGGGATGCTGCCTGTGGGCCTGTCTAAGCAGCGGAGCGTTGCTTAGCACTTTGGCGCTCTGTACGAGCGCAGCCCTTCATGGAGGAGCACGGGGAGGAGAAAATGAGATGACGGAGAGATCACGAAAAGGGGCGATCGATGGCGAGGGGGGCAATGCCGAAAGCGATGCTGATGCTTCTGACTCCGGGCGCAGTCAAAGCCTTAACCAACTCAGACTTTGCGGATTGGACGCCTAACGGTGAAACGTAACGCGCAGACTGCTCATCAGGACCCAGCGGGGCGGAGGCAGAAGAAGTGGCGAAGGGCGCCAGTCCACCGACCCAAGCTTGGTAGGACAGTCGCAGCAAAGACGAAAAGAAAATGATGGGGAAGGAAAAGGGAAAGTAGAACCGACCGCTCCCGTGCGATGACAAGCGAGCAGCAAAGCATCCACCACCGTGCCCCCCACCGTGTTGAGGCGTGGCAGATCGCTCTCCCTGCCGCGCGCCTTCCTGCATCTCCCTGGCACCCCTGTGAGGGCGCCCCGGCTCAGAGGAGCAACTGCTTGCGATCCCGGTCTCCCCAGGCGGCCTGCACCGCCTGCGCGCCCTCGTCGCCGATGCTGTTAACGTGCAGCCACAGCGTCTCCAGGCCAGGAAGGAAGGGCAGCGCCCCCGCTAGGGCTTTCGCGCCGTCGTCGCCAATGTTGTTCTCGAACAGAAACAGCCGCTGCAGGCCGGGCATGGAGCGTAGCGCCCCCGCCAGGGCCTTCGCGCCCCCGTCGCCAATGTTGTTCTCGAACAGAAACAGCCGCTGCAGGCCGGGCATGTCGCCCCCGCCAGGGCCTTCGCGCCCCCGTCGCCGATCTTGTTATTCCCCAAGCCTAGGTCGATCAGGCCGGTCATGGAGGGCAGCGCCCCCGCCAGGGCCTTCGCGCCGTCGTCGCCAATGTTGTTGTCAACCAGAGACAGCCGCTGCAGGCCGGGCATGGAGCGTAGCGCCCCCGCCAGGGCCTTCGCGCCCCCGTCGCCGATCTTGTTATTCCCCAAGCCTAGGTCGATCAGGCCGGTCATGGAGGGCAGCGCCCCCGCCAGGGCCTTCGCGCCGTCGTCGCCAATGTTGTTGTCAACCAGAGACAGCCGCTGCAGGCCGGGCATGGAGCGTAGCGCCCCCGCCAGGGCCTTCGCGCCTCCGTCGCCGATCTCGTTACTCTCCAAGCCTAGGTCGATCAGGCCGGTCATGGAGGGCAGCGCCCCCGCCAGGGCCTTCGCGCCCCCGTCGCCAATGTTGTTCTCGAACAGAAACAGCCGCTGCAGGCCGGGCATGGAGCGTAGCGCCCCCGCCAGGGCCTTCGCGCCCCCGTCGCCGATCTTGTTATTCCCCAAGCCTAGGTCGATCAGGCCGGTCATGGAGGGCAGCGCCCCCGCCAGGGCCTTCGCGCCGTCGTCGCCAATGTTGTTGTCAACCAGAGACAGCCGCTGCAGGCCGGGCATGGAGCGTAGCGCCCCCGCCAGGGCCTTCGCGCCTCCGTCGCCGATCTCGTTACTCTCCAAGCTTAGGTGGATAGGGCCGGTCATGGAGGGCAACGCCCCCGCCAGGGCCTTCGCGCCCGCTTCGCCGATCTTGCAGCTCTGCAGGTTCAGTTTCTCCAGGCGGTGGCACAGCCGCAGGCAGCCGGCGAGCCCCGCGGCCTCCTCGGGGGTCGGGGGCAGCATCCCGACGAAGTCCAGCGTCGTCACACCGCCCAGCTGCGCTAGGCTCATCCGGCGGAAGAGCGCCTTCACCGCCTCCCGGTCCGCGCCGTTGGTGAACTGCCTGTCCTTGATGAGCCGGTCGAATTCGTCCGGGCCCACCGGCCACCGCCTCCCGGCCGCCTGCCCCCCCGCCCCCTGCCCCAGGTCGGCAACGGCGTGCCACTTCGCCTGCCAACGCCAAACCTGCTTGATCTGCTCCGCGGAGCAGCGCTCGTACGTCGTCCAGCCGGACTGGTCGTAGCTGTACTCGCGCGCGCTGTCCCGCTCGCGGGGGTGCTGGGTGAGCAGGAAGACGGTGGTGGCCTGGTGGGCGTACCAGAGGTCCATCGTCTCCTCCAGCCCGTGCTTGAAGGCGGCTTTCTCGGCGGGGGTACGCTTGGCCTTGTCCGCGGTCTCCTGCGCGTCCTTCTCGCTCTTGCCCTGCCGCAGGGCGGCGGCCTTCGCCTCATCGGCCTTGACGGGGTCGCCCTGCAGCAGCGAGGGCCAGTCCCAAAAAATCCCCATCTCGCTGAACCCCTTGAAGTCAAATCTGGCTGTGGAGTACTTGAGGCGCTCCTTCTCTAGGGTGTCTATCACCAAGTTCAGCTGCAACCCCTTGGGGTCGGGGTGTTCGCGCGAGTCCCAGCAGAACGAGATGGTGATGATCGGCGCCACCTGGTCTTTCCCTCCTCGCCCGCCGGCCTCCCAGACGGCCCGCAACTCGTCCGCGGACACGAAGGCCTCCTCCGGCAGCTCCTGGCGCCTCTGCAGGACCGCGCCGCGCTGCTGCAGCAGCCACGTCATGCGGACCAAGCGCACGGGGTGCAGGTCATCTACGGTGAACGCGAGCGCGTCGAAGAGGCTCGCGGGGTCCGTGTACCGCGCCGGGTCGAACGTCGCTTGCTCCTCCTTCTTGGGGACCTCCTCGGCCCCGCCGGCGCCGGCCGCCGCGGGCGCCCCCCGGCCCGGCGAGGCCCTGGCCGCCGCGGCCCGCCGCTGCCGCAGCTGGGCCCGCACGAGCGCCCAGCCAGCGACGCTGGCCCTCAGCGCCTCCTCGACGACGCCCAGCGATGCGGCCACCGCCTCGACCCGCCGCAGCTGCTCCAGCCGCCGGCTCTGCGCGGCGAGCTGCTCGGCCTGGCCGCGATCCTCGCGGTCCGCCGCCCGCTCCTCGGAGAGAGCTCCAGCGCGGGCCCCCTGCGCTGCCAGCGCATCGGCATCGTGAACGGGCATTGGCGGCGCGCGGGGGGCCGCGGCTCGCAGAGGTGCGCGGCGTGGCCGCGGCACGCGCGAAGCCCTGCCCCTGCGCCGTGGTCGACAGGGGCGGCGCAAGTCGCCGCCAGGGGGCCAACGCCAAGCCAAGGAATCCACCGCGCGAATAAATGCCGATACAGATGCGTTTGGTTTAATGGTGATGCCAGCTTTCGGACCTCCGAAAATGGATGCCGATGTGGTTCATGTATTATGTACGTCAACGCCGATATTGTGTTTGGTAGCCGATGGCGAATTATGTCACCGATGCCAGTGCATGAATATCCCTGTACTGAGCACCTTCAAACATTGTATATATATATATATATGCCGAGAACCGTACATGCTTATCCGAGAGCCCGGTGGAGCCCCCCGGGATCCGACTTCAATCTGTGGCCCATCCTTTTCCTTCATGCTGGCTGCGGAAAGCTTTTCAAGGCTCTCTGCCGCAATGGCCCTTCGATCCGACGTCGCGACACACATGCGACATCGCGAAGCAGCGTGGCATCGCGACGAGTCGCGACCCGAGCCCTAGACCCAGTCGTTCTGCGACACGCTTTCGAGCCTGCTCGATCTGCCATGGCCTCGGGCCCGAAGCCGCGCGAAAGGGCCCAGTGGAAAAGGTGCCACTCCCGAATCTCAAGGGGAGCCATTCTGTTAGACGCCGAGTTTTGCACAGACAGCCCTCCTCCCCCTCCCCCTCCCCCTCCCCCTCCCCTCCTCCCTCCTCCCTCCTCCCTCCTCCCTCCTCCCTCCTCCCTCATCCCTCCCGTAGCCATTTTGGCTCAAGTCTCACGGATACCTCCCGTGGGTCCCGACTCCAGAGGCTCGAGGGCGAGGTGGAAGGGCAGCCCCTTCCATCAGGCCTGGCTGCCTCGCCCCAGGTTTTCAGCACGACGCTGTGCCAGCGCACGGCCGCTTTCCATCGCCCGAGGGGCTATCTCGCACTGCCCGTTCTCATCGGCTCAATGTTTGTGATAGAAGTGGCGCGATGGCTCGCAACAGGTATCTTGTGTGCCCATGGCATGGCTGCAGCGGCTGGGCCTGGGCCGACCGTGGTGTAACTCACTGCACCAAGTGTGGCGCGAAGCTCTCACACAAGAAGATGGGGCTCAAAGACCCGCTCCCTGCAGGCGGTGGGCCACCCTCATCAACAACACGGGCAGTCTCCTGGGCACCGCCTGAAGATCGCAGCGATGGAGGACAGCAAGGACGAGGCCACGGGTGCTGGCGCCGTGGGAAGTCTCGAGGTCCGCCAGACACAGGTGCAGCTGACGGTCGTGGCGAACGTGACGGGGACAGGCCAAAACCAGCAGAAGCAGATCGTGCGGAGTCTGTTCCCAGCCCCGTTGAGCTGGCCCAGGCCCAGGTCACTTTCTGGAAGCAGTGGAAGGGAGACAGTTCCAAGGAGTACACGGACGCGGTCGAGACTCTTAAGCAGGCGAAGCAAATCCTCTCACAAGAGACGACACCTGATCAGCAAGCCCAGAGCCTCACGGACCAGCTCAACCAACAGAAGCGTCGTCTGCAGCAGGCAAAGAACAACGTCAACCAGCTCTCGCAGCAGTTGGCCGCCGTCGCCGAGAAGCAGCAGAAGGCGTTGGTCGAGTACCAGCAGATCAGCGTGGAGGTGCAACGGCTGCAGGCGCAGCTGCAGGTTGTGCAGCAGGCAGCCGCCCAGAAGGCATCCCAGGACGTGCCGATGGCGGAGGCCATCAAATCTCTCATCGCAGGTCGTCTCAGCAAGCCGAAGGAATCAATACCACCTGAACTTGACAAGCATCTGGAGGCTGTCGTCGAAACTCTGTCGCAGGTCGAGAAGGAACAGCACGCAGCCAAAGCAGGGCAAGAAGACAACAAGGAGTCTGCCAACGGGGAGGACAAGCCGAATGAGAATGACTTCCTGCAGCCGAAGGATGAGCAGCCCCAGGCCGAGGCAGCGCAGCACCCAGCGGGAAGCCCACCTGCTCCCGTGGGAGAGCCGCCCAATGGTGCAGGCGCCGAGGCCCCAGGTGCAGCGGCTTCTTCTGAGGATGCACAGATGGCGGAGGCGCGCAAGAGGGCCTTGGACCAGCTGCAGGAGGCTAACAAGTCGTTGGCGGCAGCGGGGCTCTCCAGCGAGGATGCAGCCAAGAGGCTCAAGGTCGCGGCCGAGAAGGTTGCCACCGAGACTGCGGAGACGACTGTGCCGCAGCAGCATTCCTGACCAGTGCAAGCTGATGACCATCAATGGCAGTTGCTGGCCGCAGGTGAAGACCTTCATCAAGTCCGAGCTGGGCCAGCAGTCCCACGTCATTTGCGCGCAGGAGTGCAAGCTGTGCTCCGAGCATTTCATCACTCAGGCTTCTCAGTGGTTGCAACGTGAAGGTTGGCAAACTACTTTTCAGGCAGGCACATACAGCTCCACGGAAACCCCCTCGGCTGGAGTCTGCGTTCTGGTCAAAAACGGTTTCGATTTTGGAGTTCAGAATATGGTTTTACCTTCGGGGGCTCAGGATCTTGTTCCTCAGGGTCGTCTCGTGGGGGTTCGAGTGGAGTTGCCTGGGCTTGGAGTCGTGGGCATACTCTCAATTTACTTGCAGGTCAGTGTTGGCTTGAATGAGACCAATTTAAGTATTTTAGCGGCAGCGGCAGTATTGCAGAATGAATATCAGATTTACCATACTTTTAACATGAGACTATAACATGAACCCTAACAAGCTCAGACATCATGACTATGTGCAGCGTGCTGGCATGTGTATTGGTTCTTCGTCTACACCCACTTATCGTACGAAGAAAACGCAGTCGCAACTGGACTATTTTGTGTATAGCAAGTGTTTGGAGCATGTCTTGTCGGAACCACATGTACATGTAAAATATCCGTTGTCGCCGCGCCGCCCTGTCAGCATCAACATTCAGGCAGACGCAGGTTTCACCGTCCCAGTCTTGTGTAAGCCGCAGCGCCTGCCGACCAAGCCAGTGCGTGGTCCCGAGTTGCCCGAGCGCGAGTGGCACGCGACGGAGGCCGCCCTGCAGGTCGCGGAGGCCATTGTCAATCGCAGCGTGGAACCACCTAGTCTGAGAGAAAAGCAGCGAGTGTTGGATCAGGTTTATCATTTTCTGGCCAGGGACTTGGAGGTTACGATAGCGGGGATTACCGACACGGTTCTAAAACCAAGTTCTCGGCCCAGGGCCTGTCCTCCCAGGGTCCGGTGGGTACAAGCTCAGCAAATTCTGAAGGAGCATCGTGTTGAGTGGAAGTCGCATGCAGGGCCGCTGCGCTGAATGCGCAATATGGTACAGCAGTTTTTCTCCAGGCTTCAGAAGATGGACGCTGCTGAGTTGCAGCTCGTAGCCGACAGTCTGGAAGATCCCCCGCCAGAGCTCCAAGAGTCCGAGGCCATCCAGGAATGCCTTCACAGCACCCATCAGAGCCTCCAGTTCCTCATCCTGGATATTCAAGCGGGGGTCCTGGATCCTGAGTTGGGTTTGCAAGCGTTGGACGAGGTTTTGAATCACATCAATAAGCTGATTGATAAGGAGATCGCCCCGGGGAAGCAAGAGGCCTCTCGGGCCTGGCGGGAGTGGGTCCAGATAGGTGCGCAAGGCAATGCTGGCGGGGCTCACAAGTGGACCAAGAACCTGGAGGCCTGGGCTCCCCAAGCTGTTCCCCTGGAAAGGTTCTTGGACTGGGCGCTCTTCGAAGGTTTTGGAGCATGGAGCTGTTCGACTTAGTCAACTTTGGGATACCACCGACGAGAGGCCCCAGTACGAAGTACCCCCAGGCCCTTTCGAGCCCCAGATGTCCATGATAGAGCCCCAGCAGCTGATTGATGCAGCAAAGCAGTACACCCACGTGACGGCCTCTACGTGGGACGGCTTTCACCCCAAGCATTTCCAGAGCCTGTCGCTTCACCAGGCCGACCTGGCCTGCCGCTTTTTGCACCTGGTCGAGTCCATAGGTGCGATGCCCAAGCAGTTGCAGGCAGTAGTTTCGGTGCTGATCCCCAAGCAAAACAAAGCCAAGGTGGCTCAGGCTTTACCGCAGTTCAGGGGGATCGGGATGATGCCAGGACTGCATCGCATCTGGTCCAAGGTCCGCCAGGGAGAAGCGAAGAAATGGGAACCAAAGCGCCGACGCAGATTTTTGGCCCATCAGGCGGGCAAGAGTATCACGGAAGTTGTTTTTTTCTGCAGATTTTGAAGGCAGAGAATGGCGTGACCCGCCAAGAGACCCTGCATGCAGGCGCTGTGTTGTGGGACCTCAGCAACTACTATGAGTATATCAACCATCACAAGCTGATAGAGAGGGCCCACGCCACAAGTTTCAGCAGCAATATCCTAAAGGTCATTTTAACCCAGCACAGCAGCCAGCGACTGGTCGCCACCAGGGACCTAGTGCAGATGGTCAACCATCCGACGAGAGGGATTGCGGCGGGTTGCGGCTGGGCTACTTTTCTGGTGCAGGTCTATAGTTTGGGTCCCCTGGACTGCTGGAGCAAAAAGAACCCTAGGGGCACGGATTCGCAGATGTTTATTGATGACCTATTCATGGGACAACAGCATCAAAATCAGGAGGCTCTGGTGCGACAACTGCAACACTCGGCGGCAAGGCTGGCAGTAATCATCCAGGACGATTTAGAGTGCAAGCTCGCGCTGCACAAAGCTCAGGTTATTGCGTCGAACCCTCGGCTCCGACAGACAATCAGGAAAGTTCTTGGGAAGTATGCGGGCCCCGAGGACTCGCATGGGGCTACGAACCTAGGGGTAGATAGTTCTGCAGGAGCTTCGAGGATTCGAGTTAGTCGCCGGCTGGCCAAGGCTACTTTGTACAAACGGTTTGTTCGACATCGAAATCGACGACATCGGATTCGAGCTATCAAGATAGCTGGAGGGGACACAAGGAAACTTTGGAAGACAGGCCTCCAGCAGGCCATCACTTACGGCACGGAAGTTGCGGGAGTCGGTCACGTCGAACTTCGTAAGATTCAAACTGAATGCCTCAGAACAGCCGGCCCCAGATGCGCTACGCGAAGTAGGTCACTCAGGTTGGCAGTGCTTGGAGACCCATCGTGGCGTGCAGGCTTGGGACCAGTACTCACATGGGCGACGATGATATGGCGTGCTGCCACCCAGCCGTCACACCCGCGTGAACTTCTTGAGCTGAAGGGCCTGGCCGAACCTATGTTAGCATCCCCCCCAAGTAAGTGGGCTGCTGAAAGAGGCCCCTTTGGGGCCGCCTACCTCTCCCTCAAGAGGATTGGTTGGAGTTTTGCTTCTGTTTTGGAACTGCAAGACGAGAACGGGCTAAAATACCCGCTCACGACTTGCACGCCGAAGATGATGGCCCAGGAAATGCAAGCAGCCTGGGATAGGCTCAACTTGCGTAAAGCTGCTCAGAAACTTGGCTATCCCCAGGAGACCGTCGATGTTTCAATTGCCCGAGCCTTGATAGACGGTAAGAGTTTAACTAAGAAGGCCAGGTCCACGCTCGTCTGCTTTCTCACACAGTGCCTTTGGACGCGGACTCGTCTGCGTCAAGCAGGATATGAAGTAGAGGAGGCTTGCCAATGCGGAGCCCAGCAGGATACTTTAAAGCATCGTTTGCTGGAGTGACGCCTCTCAGCCCAGTTGCGCGAAGAAATGGAATTTACTGCAGACGAGCTGGATCAGATAAGTAACCTTTTAGATCAGGTCCTGGCCTTCGGTTTTCAGTTTTCACCTGACTTTGACTCGGGGGCTCCTGCTGGGTTCGGCTACGAATATGCGGACTTTTGGAGTCGGGACCCATTCCTCTCGCCACAGGAAGCTTTCTCTGATGACGTTTTCACGGACGGCTCCTTCTTTAAGGCAGGGGCCCAATGCTACAACCTAGCGGGATGGGCTATGGTGGCCATCGATGGGCACGGTGAAGTCTCGGCTTACATGATGGGGCGTGTGGGCAACCTCCTTCCTCCTACCTCCCCTGCTGCTGAGCACTGCGGTGTGCTTGCTGCTGCTCTGAATGCCTCCCCACACGCCCAGATTTTTGTAGATTATAAAAGGAGCTATTGCTGTGCACCAGAAGCCACAGTTTTCTCGGTCCGCCTTTTTACGGGGCCTTTCAGGTCCTGGCTAGGGCCAGCATGACCCCCATCGGCCCCAGGCTCCACAACATCAAAGCGCACGTGGACATCGAATCCTTGACCCCAGGCAGCGAGGAGTGGCGACGAGCTAAAGGCAACGACGCTGCTGACCGATATGCGAAGATAGCCGCTGCCAGGGGTCCCCGGTTAAGTACTAATGAACTTGAGCAACAGGTTGCTCAGACGGCTCTTTAAAAGAAATACCTCAGATATGTTTCAGAAGCCCTCCAGATCTGGCCTGCGGTGGCTCCGAAGGCTGGATCAAAAGGACTTGACAAGCCAGAGAAAAGTTTGAACCCACCCGTGGGAGCGGCCGCGGCTCAGCCCGCCTGGGGACAAAAAGTTCCTCCTCCTCCGAGTCCTCCTCCTCCTCCCCCGTCGGTTCCTGGGGACGAGCTTATCATACCCAGGCGGGCACATCAGTGGCATAAATGGGGCAATGGGTGGCTGTGCGCAGTGTGTCGTCAGAGCTCGGCCTCGGACCATGCTTTGAAGCGCCGCGAAAAGGAACAGTGCCCTGGTTTTTGTGCCCACCACCATGAGCTGCTGGCCAATCCACGAGGCCATAAACCGATGTTTCTTGGGTATCTGGATGATAGACCCTCGAGCATAACTATGTGCTGGAAGTGCGGCTCGTTTACAGAAGGAACCCGTGGCCTCAGAGGTGAATGTTCCCCGCCTACAAATGGACGCTTGTTGCAACGACAGCGAGCGGGGGAAGGACGGTACCCCAAAGGCACGGCGAACTCGCCCATTTTGCTGAAGCCTCCGATCCCGCTGGCCCAGCTGGTGAGAGAATTGGAGGAGATGAGCTCTGCTGTTTAACGCGGCACGAGCTCCAGAGACAAGCGGGATTCACCCCAATCTGAGCGCTGGTCCTCCCTCCTCCCTCCTCCCTCATCCCTCCTCCCTCCCTCCTCCTCCTCCGCCACCGCCTCCTCCGCCTCCTCCTCCTCCTCCTCCTCCTCCTCCTCCTCCTCCTCCTCCTCCTCCTCCTCCTCCTCCTCCTCCTCCTCCTCCTCCTCCTCCTCCTCCTCCTCCCCCCCCGAGGCAGTCCTGGCTGGCCTCAGCAGGCCTCCCGAGTGCCCCTTGGCCGGAAGGCAGCCGGCAAAAGCAGGAAGCAGGAGGGTTGGGAGAGAGGAGTTCGGGGTGCCGTCGGCCCCCCCCGTGGGAGGACGGCAGGGGGGGAAGCCACTCGAGAAAAATTGGAGCAGGAGGGCGCCTGTCAAGGGAGTCGGCAGAAGCATGACGTAGGAAGGTGCTGGGAGTAGATGGGGTTCCATCTGCCCCCCCGTTGGGAGGACGGCGGAGGGGGAAGCCACTCGAGAGAATGGGAGCAGGAAGGCGCCTATCGAGGGAGTCGGCTGAGAGCAGATGGGGTTCCATCTGCCCCCCTTGGGAGGGCGGCAGAGGGGGACGCCGCTCGATAAAGATTGGAGTAGGAAGGCGCTCATCAAGTAGATTGGCGCCTGGGAACCCCCAAATATCTTCTTTCAACGACCGATGGGTTGGGGGGCCACATGCGAACCGTAGCCCTGCCACCCACGAGCGGGGGAGAGTGGGGCTCGCTTCACTCGGGAGCTCCCGAACGAACTGAGCCCCACCCTCCCCCTCAGAACTCGTGGGGGGCAGGGGTAGGGCTCGCATGTGGCCCCCTATGGGTAGTCTTAAGTCGGGCCTGTCCCCCGACAAGGAGGTTTTGGACGAAACCTTAAAAATCATAAAAAATAAGCCAAAAATAATCCAACAATGGCCTGGGGACTATTTTTTGAATATCGTGTGACCTTCCTGGTGCATGTTTGGGGTATATTTTTTTCTCGTCGAACATCCCCCCTGCATAGGGGGACACGCCCGACTTCAGGGCAGCCTCGGCTGGCCTCACCGAGGCCCCCCCCCCGAGCAGCGCGCGGCGGTCTCCACGCCGCAGCCCGTGGGGCGCGGGGCGCCCCACGGGCGCCGCTGGAGGCAGCGCCAGGGCGTGGATGAAGGGGCCCTGGGACACACACACACACACACACACACACACACACAACACAAAAACTACACACACACACACACACACACACGCACGCACACACAAAAACGCACACACACACACACACACACACACACACACACACACACACACACACACACACACACACACACACACACACACACACACACACACACACACACACACACACACACACACACACAAAACACACACACACACACACACACAAATAACTGGATGCCCTATATTTTCCCATATTTTCTGGGTGTTTGTCTCCCCCCCCACTGCCCATAGTTTCGCACATTTTCCGGGGAATCAATCGACGATTCATTGTGTCTGTGTGTTTTTTCCCCTCCTGAGTTGAGACCGCCCCTGGGCTGCTCGGGGGGTATGCCGAGGTCGGCATGCGCTGCTCAAGGGGGGGCCTGCTGGGGTCCGCTGGGGCTACCTACAGGTCGGGCGTGTCCCCCTACAGGGGGATTTTGGGGCGAAAGATAAGAGATACCAAAACAAAAACTCAAAAATAGTGATACAATGTTCAAAAGATCGTCCCCAGACTATGTTTAACTATTGTTGACGATCCCTCCTGTAGAGGGACAGGCCCGACTTAAGGCTACCTTGGGGGGGGGGGGCGTCTGTGCGCAACCTGCAGGCTTACCAGTGTCATGGTTCTCTGGCCCTCGGGAGGCGCACACCCCGACGAGTTCAGGCATCCCTCGGTTTTCGTGTCCCCGGCGGCCCTTGAGGCCGATCTGGGCACCCCCCATAAAGCTCTCGGCGCGGCGCAGCCACTGAAGAGCACCCCGCCTGGAGAGCCTCCAGGAGCCAGTGCAAACGCCCGAAGAGCTCGATTGTCGGGATTCCCGATCTCGGGGGGTACCATTGTTGATGGGCCTTTTTTCCACAAGTTCGATGGGGGAAGGAGGTGGAGGAGGAGGAGGAGGAGGAGGAGGAGGAGGAGGAGGAGGAGGACCTCCTCCCCCTCCAACTCATGGTGGTGGTGGTGGAACAGGCCCACCAATTCAATTGTCCTGCGGTCCTCGGGGGCGTACGTCCCCACGAGGTCCGGTATCCCCGGGTCGGAGAGGCCGCTGCCGGCCACGAAGAGCGCCAGGCCCACGGCGTGCACCGGCACGGACCGCGCGGCCAGGGCCCCGAAGGTGCTGGGCGTGTGTTCCACCGCCACCACCATGAGTTGGAGGGGAAGGGGGTCCTCCTCCTCCTCCTCGTCCTCCGCCTCCTCCTCCTCCGCCTCCTCCTCCTCCTCCGCCTCCTGCTCCTCCTCCCCCTCCCCCTCCAACTTATGGTGGTAGTGGTGGAAAAACAGGCCCAGCAGAAGGGCAGGAGGACCAGGCTGGCGGCCACCAGGAGGGCCAGGCGACGGCAGCTGGCCACCTCGCCGATTCGAGGCAGCCCAGAAGTTGGAAGGCATTGGAGTACCATGAAGTCGGGCCTGTCCCTCTGCAGGAGGAAGATTCAATGATAATCAAGAATAATATGGGGACGATCTTTTGACTCTTTTTGAATGTGTTTGAATATTTGTCGGTCTGTTCTACGTTTCGTCCAAAATTCGCCTGCAGGGGGCACGCCCGACCTGAAAGTACCATGTGGGACCTGCTCTAGAGCAAGAAGATACCGTAGACGGATCTACCCTTTCTCCGGCCTTGCACCGCGCCGAGCGCAACGGCCACACAGTCCATCGACGCGTCCACCCCGAAGGTGTCTATGGACGCCACGGCACCCAGTGCGTCCATAGACGCTGTCGACTAGGATGTGAGACGGTATTTGGCATCGGCCCCAGATGTTGGCCTTCCAGAAGAAGCAGGTAGGCTTGGCCAACCAAGGGGGGCAACCCCTAGGAGGCCTTCGTCAAAGGCATGAGTGGCTACGGCTGCTTCGCGTGGCGATGTCGCGGGCGTTGGTTTCTTACTCCGCGTGGATCGGTCAACCCTGATTCAAGGTTGAACCATCCACGCGGCGCTCCGATGCGCGAAAATGCACCGCGCACGTCCACGCAGAGAGCCTGCCCGACGGCATGCGCTCGACCACATTTGTCCCTGGAGCCCGTGCGGAAGGACGGGGAAACCCAGAACTCTTGAACACTGTCAATATCAATACTTCACGCTCCTCTGATTTGAAGGAGCCCTGGGACACACAAATACATACACACAGATACCAGGATACCCCATACTTCCCCATATCTTCTGGGCTTTTGTCTTCCCCCGAATTCCCATATTTTCCCATATTTCCTGGGGAATCGGCGACGGATTGGGTCCCCTGTGTGTAGTTTCCCCTCCTGATGATGGAACGATCGCGGCGCTTCGACGGCGCAGGTCGCTCGACGGCGGCCGCTGCCGAGCCGCTGGCGGCCCTTTTGACCTTGAGCGCCCGCGCTCCGGGGCTTCGCGGCCGCGGGCGCAGGCCTGCCGTTAAGTCGGGCCAGCTGCTGCAAGGGGGCCATGGGACACACAAACAAATAGACACAAGTACGTAAAAGGATTCCCTATAGTTTCCCATATTTTCTGGGTGTTTGTCTTCCCCCCCACTGCCCATAGTTTCGCACATTTTCCGGGGAATCGACGAATCATTGAGTCTGTGTGTTTTTTTCCCTCCTGACCAGCTGCTGCAAGGGGCCAGCGAGCGAATTGCAGTTGAGACGCGTCCACAAGAAACCTTCCACACGAAACCCAACCCTGAGACCCCAGGGCGTCCACGGATTTTTGGTGTGGGAGCGTCGCGCTTTCCACAGCAAGACCGTCGAAACCCAGGAAACCCGGGGCACCCTGGAGGCAAGCAGGGTGTTTCTTGCCATGGGCCCATACTGTCAGCGGGATGGAGCGGGATTGAGCCGGATTCAGCGACATGGCGCCAGATTGCGCCAGTCGCCGACCAAGGACATACCAGCGCCGATTCTGAATAGTCAATCTCCCAGGATCTAAATCTGAACAGAAGGGACTCCAACAAGTAGAAGCGGGTGCTGCTGTTGGACACTGGATGTGGCTCGTACAAGAACGCGTTCGATTGGTGTGATTGCGGCAAACAGTTCGCAACCCGAAGATGTATTGTTGGTGTCTTGACCCTTTGCGAGTTCGAGGTGTCAAGGCCAACCAATTCGATGCGAGTAGGTCTCCGACTCCGGCATCGGAATCGGACAACGCTCTTGGGCACCCCGCGTCCCCCTGCTCGCAGGCTATCTAGGCGATCAAATTGGATCTGGACGGTCATGCCGCAATCGGCCAGCGCAGCAGTGCAATGCAACACGCCAGCTGCAACACATTGCATTACAATTTGGGGGCTGCAGGAGATTTGGGGCGTGCGAAAATACTCTGGGGCACAAACGGGCTGCTCTTTCCGCGTGCAACAAGATTGTCGCAGCACAGTGCAGTACAATTCTCTGGAGCATGAACACATGACAGTCTGCCGTACATTTGCAATGAGTTGTGCAACCTGCAACGCGGTTGCAATGACAGACTGCAATAGAAATGACAGCCGCGCGAAATGCAACTGCAACGATCTCTGTGTGCCGCACAACGCACTTCATGCCAAGCGCGCCAACTCTTGATGTGACGACTGTCGCAGATGGACCGCCGAGGTCTTGGAAAACACGCCGGGACGCCCGTCTGCCGTCTGCCTCATTCCTCGATACATGCCCCGAGGTCGTTTGCAGGCACGCTTTGCAACGAATAGCAGAAGAGTTGCAATTATTTTCGCACGTGCCGTCAGATACTTCAGTGCCTGCTACAGACTCTACGTTTTTGCCACCAGCCCCTTTCACCTGGACCCTGTCTTTTTGGTTGCCCAAGCCGATGCGGGCCCATCCGATCTTGGGCCTGGGATCGGTGTACGTACCAGGAAGCTGGAAACACACCCAAATCTCCGAAGATATGAGTTCTTCAATCCCGACGTTTTGCCTTAGATTTCTCAGCTTCTGGGACCCGCCATCGGGACCATCAAGAATCGATCTGGAACGAAAAACTACACCCAGGGAAGGGGGCGGGACGTCTGGCGCGGCGCACAGAAAGGAACATGTCAGCGGAGGCCTGGGCATATGGCCGGGCCCACATGTGAAGCACCCGCTAGCCACCTGCTGCATACACATGCGAAGGGCCAGATTGCCTGGCCAGGCGAGGGCCGAGCGCCAGAAGGAGATCTGGCCACACGTGTATGCAGCTCTGGCCCAGGCCAGAAACGCCATGCGAGCGACGATCAGAAGCGGGTCTTACGCGAGATGACACGGCAACCTGGCGCCACAGGTCACGCGGGCCGCCAGCGCGGCACGCTGCACTAGAAGCGAGGGCGCTTGCGCGCGTCCTCACGCGAGCAGCGTACGCGTAACTGTCGGCAGAGTCGCCCCCGTTTTCTGTCGTCGCCCACGTGTCTCCAGCTTCCTGGTGTCCGCCTCCCTTCGGCGACTCCGAACGGTGTGGTTTGCATGTGGCACCCTGGGGGGCGGGCGGGGACCTCGATAGAGCCCTCCGCCGCGCCCCGAGGAGGCGCAACGAGAACAGTGTTATGCTCCCGAGGCCCCAACGTTGCCGATTGCGAACCACGCCCTTGCGTAACCATACCCTTTGTAGTCGCCGATCCCTGGCCAACCGAATATGCACCGACCCTTGGCCCAGGATGGGCGGCCGGGCGGGATCGGCGAGGTGGTCCGCGGACGCCCCCCGAGACGAGGCCCGCGGCGAACACGGCGTGCTTGCCCAGCGTCTCGCTGAGCCAGGGGTACACAAAATACTCGATGACCGCCTCGCCGATGCCGCTCATCGCCAGGATGACGCCGAACTCGCGGTCTCCCCAGCCGAACGCGTCGTGGATCAGAAACGCGTAGGTTGCAAACAAGCAGAGGAAGGACAGGGACGCCCAGAATCGCCCCATCCAGATGCAGCCCAGCCCGTGCGAATATATCTCGCCCAGCTCCACCGTGAACTTCCCGAGTGGGCTGCTGTCGGCCCCCCTCACCTCACAGAGAGGGGCCCGCCTGTCTGGCCCCAGGGTCTCCTGGAGGATGCAGCAGCCAACGCAAGCGCCACCGAACGCAAGAGCGGACGCCGAGGCAAAAACCCATCTCCTGTCCACCTCACGGAGATACAGCGCGAGAGTGACCAGGCCAGGCCCGATCGTAAAGGCGACCCCGAGGATGCCGCCCAGCACGCCGAGCTGCTGGGGGCGCTCGGCGGAGGTGGACGCGTCCATGATCATGGCCGTGCTGACGACAATGCTCCCGCCCGACAGGCCTGCCAGCGCGCGCACCACCAGGAGCTCCTCGAAGGAGTGCACGAAGCACGTTGCGGCGAAGCACAGGGACGTCCAGAAGAAGACGCCGAGGAGCACCCGCCGGCGCCCGCGGGCGTCCGAGATCCTGCCGATCACCGGCGCGCCGACGAACTGGGCAGCGTTGAAGCACGCCATGGCCGTGCCCACCTCCGCGGCCGACAGGCCAAGCTCGTGTATACAGAAGTAGTAGAAGACGGGTATCGTCAGCGACGCCCCCAGGATCTCCAGGAACAGCACGAGGAAGAGGCCGCGCAGCAGGGGCTCCGCGGGGGCCCCGTGGCCGTGTGGTGTGCCGGACCGCGCAGCGGCCTCCAGAGAGCCCCGACGTCCTCGCCGCGCGCTCCGTCGCCGCACTGTGCTGGGACCCTGACCCTGTGGGTCCCGGTCGCCCGAGGCGTCCTCGGAGAACGGCCCGAGTCCAAAACCCGTGCGGTGACCCCGCACACCCACTGACTCACCACACTGGCCCTTCTCGGAAGGCTGGGCTCCGGGGCCAGAGCTCCAATCTCCGTAGGCCGTTCGGGACGATCTGGGCCCCCCGGAACGCTCTCGACGAGGCGCAGCTGCTGGAACACATCCCGAGGCAGCAGAGCCCCCAGGACCCGCCGAAAACGCCCGAATCCCCACAGTAGGTTCGCGCGGCGTCGGCACGCGCAATGGTTTATGACACAACGTCGATCGTTCAATGAATCGATCGCGGCCCCGATCAAAGCTGAATTCCGTCGGGTGCAATAGCGTCACCGTGTCCCTCGGTGCTTCTGCGCCGCAAGATTCAACCGTGAACTCCTTCGCCAGCGTCGCTGGCGCGCCATCGCCGCGTGGAGGGAAACCAAAGGGTACCGACACCGCTACTCCCTGGACCTCTCCCGGGGCGCGCCCTGACCAGGATCTCGAGGCGAATCCAGCGGTGGTGAGCACCGAAAACGGACAATTCCCTAATCGACGTGTCAGGGTGGAGGTTTTGTCCACCCCCGAACCTTGGTTTGCGTTGCTCTCATCGTACTTAAGGACCACATCATCCCAGACATGATTTCGAGCACCTGGAAAAGTGTCGAAAGAGCGTCGAAACAGTGTCGGACGAGTGTCTCCCAGGGCCCGACACGTGAAAGCCATCGAAATCCGTTATTCCTGTGGTGCTCGAAATTCTTTCTGGTGATCAGGGCTGAAGTAGGTTGGAGCATCATACACCTTGGTGTGGTCACCACACTGCATGGAGGCCCCCGGCTGGACGCCGGCCTGCGGTGCCCCGAGCAGGCGCTGCGGCCCGGCGCCCGCCGCCGGCATGGCCACCGGGGTGTCACGCGGGCTCCGCCGCCGCGCACGGTGCGAGCTTCATTGCCTGCTTGCCAGGCCGCCCCAACCCGACCCGAAGACCCGCAGCTCGGGTTATGTGGCTCCCATGCCACTGAAGGACCACATCCCAAAAATAACTTCGAGCACCCAGAAACGTGTCAAAAGGGTGTCGAAACAGTGTCGAAACAGTGTCAGGCGAGTGTCTCCCAGGGCCCGACGGGTGAAAACCCTTGAGTTTCGGTACTTCGTTGAGGCGCTCGGGATTCTTCCTGGCGAACAAGGCCAAAGTAGGTTGGAGCAGCATGGAGCTCGGGGAGGGCATGGGTTCCACATGTGTGCGTGCTTGCAAAACTCCACGACCCGGTCGACCCCCCCCAGCTGGAAATGGAGGGCAAGTCGAGGCCTTCGGGTTGGGTTGGGTGGTTTGGTGGGTGGTGATTCATTGCCCGTGCGGTCGCGCCGCCGCGGGGCCGGAGCCTCTGGATGCTACATGTGGGAGCGGCGGCGGTCGTCGGGCGCCGAGGGCGGCCCGAATCGAAATGTGCGCTGGATTCACCTGCATATCCAGACGAAGCCAGGGTTAAGTCGGGCATGTCCCCCGACATGCGGATTTTGGACGAACGAATCTTCAAGCATATGTAGTAAAACAAATATTCCACAGACTATTTTCAAACAATGTTTGAAAATTCCTCCTGTAGAGGGACAGGCCCGATTTAAGGATGTATTCGGGTGAGGATTCACCACCAATCTCTGAGATCTGGCGGTTCTGGAGGACATCTCGGGCGCCGCGGCCTCCTCAGAGCGTTCTGGGGAACGCTCTGGAACGGATACATCCTCGTCCTATAGCCCCGTCCGGCCAGGGCGGATGGGATCGAGCATCGGCACGGGGTCGAAGTCGAATCGGGTCGGCTGCGCCAAGATGCATAACAACGCAACGCAACCATCGGGCCGCATCGGATCGTCGGAGTGTCGGAATCGAACCGGGCCAGCCAGAAACAATATCGAACCGGATCGATCGGATCGAAATACACCCTGGTGGGAGACAGCGTTAGATGACGACCTCCAGCGAAAGCTGGCCGGGGAGGACGGCCGCTGGAATGATCGCTTCTTTTCACAACTCCTTTATCTCACATGGTCACCTCTCTCACGGGAAGCTGGGCATGACTGCCGTGGTTTGAACTGGCCAAGCAGCCTGTGAGTTTGCAGCAACGTCTGCGCATGATGTCCTTGTCGTGGTTCAGGTCGTAGGCTCTGGGCAGGAGAGTGCCAGGGGCCCCCTTCGATTCCCGTCTGGGTCCGCCGCATGGCGACGCTGCGGGGCGCCAGCTCCTTTCGCTCTCAACATCCGCATGTGCATACTCTGTGTTCGCACTCCTGTCGAGAGCCAGCGCGCTGGCCCAAGTTGATAGAGGCAGGCCGCGACTGGGCTGCGATGTTTCCAAGATTACGACTGCTTCCAGAACAGAGCCTGCCTAGCACGAGCGGCAGAGAGCAGCTTGATCAAACGCAGGAGTGCCGGTGCGCCTTTCGTTTCGGCCCTTGCCATTTACAAGGCAAGACGGCGACTTGCAGATCACCTTCCAAGTACGGCTTCCAAGCCCTGGTTTTGCTCGGGTCACGCTCTTGCCAACTTTCTGGAGAAGACTACTTGCCGGGCTTGTAGAGTTGTGAGAAAGAAACACGGCATCAAGTCGGGCCACACATTTGTAAAGAAGCCTTGGGCACAATCCAGTCAGACATCCAAGGCGACGTCTCGCTCCAGAGAGCAAGAACATCCAGAAGTCGCCTGAGCTTCCGAAGCGGACCAGTCACAAAAAAGACACGCCAGACGAATGTCGAGATCACCACCGGCTGCCTTTGTCGAAGAAAAGGAGGAGGAGAAACTGGATCAACAGCCACGAGCGAGGCGAGGAGGAGGAGGGGGCGGAGGATCTCAGAGATGCAATGCAGCGGCCACTGAGCATATTGCCACTCCTGCCATCAGAAGCTTGTATGCACACGCACTTCCCTGGAGAGACTCCCGATGGGGCCATAGCCAAGGAAAGAAGCGTTTTCATTTCGAAATGTCGGCAGCAGCTCCGAGTCTCAGTGGGAACGATTCGTCTCAAAGAAAATCTGGGGATATGGCATACGAAGAGGTCGTGGTATGCAGCCACGTTGACTGCAAATCACATGTGCAGACCGTATCAAGATCTTACAAAAGGTCGGAGAGAATTCTGGCAGCCTTCATGGAACAAATCAAGGACAAAAGCCTCTCTTGCAATATTGAAAGATCAAAGAATCACTGCACCAGATTGGGCTCAGAGGCATTAGGGTTCACTTGACGAGGCTCAAGTTGTCACCGCCATCACGGATGAAAGACGACGACGACTTGGAGGAGGGAACTCAGACGCCACCTGCTAGCGAGGATGACGACGAAGCTCCCAATACGATGCACACGCAGATTCAGCAACATCAAGTTGCAACACAGAAGCTCCCCGACTCTTTCATCATGCAGAGGCAATGAGTGGATCTGGCAAACAACGCCATGACATATCAGCGGAATAAGAACGCCAACGCAACTGCTCCCTGCAAAGGTGACGCAGGTCACGAAACAACGCGACCCATTGGTTTTGGCTCCCACTGCTCCGGATACCGCGACGATGGCGGCGGCTTCAACGGCGGCGGCCACACCAGCTCCAGCACATCAATCGCCTCAACTTCCTGTACCTGCTCAGGCAACACATGCGCAAGCTCCTACGCATGCTCGGCCACCAAGTGCAAGTCAGGCGAGAACGGAATGACGCAGTCCTGCGAGAGGGAGGTCGTCGAAGGCGTCCCGCAGTCCGGCCAGAGGGAGACCGACAGCAGCGGCCGCGGCGGAGGCGGATGCCATCCCAGCAGGCGATCAGGCCATCCCTGCGGACACCGAGGACGAGGGCACGTTGCTAAGAGAGGGGTAGTGCATGCCTTAGCTTCGATCGGCTCGGATGCTCCCGATCGAAGCAAAAGCCCGCATTTGCCAACATCCGATTCCATTTCGCTCAGAACCCGGATCTTGCGAATTCTGCGTTTCATACGTGGTCTTTCATGGGCCACCCTGACTGGCGAAGGCATCAGAGGTTCATGTTGGGCTGTTCGGTTGATGTCACCGAAATGTGCCAGATTCGGATGGGGCTCGATCGAAGGTCAAGCACGTCAAAGAAAATAAAGATGGTAGTGGGGGATCCTCGGAGGCGAACCTAATGTGGGCCGTCTGTGCTCTCATCGTGACCCAGGATGGTTCTAGTCACTACTTCGCCAGCTTGCCTTGTCAAAAGGGGACTGCAGTGTCTCGCAGACCCAGTTGAGCTTGGTCTGAGAAACGATCGCCTCGCTGTGGGCGCTACCATGGGCTATGCAGGCGCAGTTCCACGCAGACGGATTCAGGCTTCATCATAATGAGCTTAATCATGTTACGCATGGAGCACAAGGGCGATGGAATTTCCTCCATTAGCGGATTTGGCATCAGGCCTCATGCCCTTGTTCCATATCATCTTATGTGTGCACAAGTCTACGTATCATCATGCGCATGCGCATGCACAACAGCCGGTGAAGTGGCATGTATACACTCTAACAACACTTGCAGGCTTGGATATCTTCAATACTCCGAAGTGTTGCCCTTGGCAACACCTTCTTGAAGACTCACCGCTGGCACAGTGAGCATGGCTTCCTCTCCTCCAAGAGGACAGTCGGGCTCAGGTTCCAGCTGCCAGAGAGGGAGAGCTAGTGGTCATGGACCCGAGGTTCACAGAAATGTCATTCCATCGTATAGGTAGGCAATGTACTCAATCTGGTTAACACAGATATCCAACAGCAGCAGG